CTGGAGTGCAATGGTGAGATCTCGGCTCACTGCAACCTCCTCCTCCCGGGTTCAAGTGATTCTCCTGCCTCAGCCTCTCAAGTAGCTGAGATTACAGGTATGCGCCACCATGCCCAGCTAATTTTTTGTACTTTTAGTAGAGACGAGGTTTTTCCATATTGCTGGTCAGGCTGGTCTCCAACTCCCAACCTCAGGTGATCCGCCTGCCTCGGCCTCCCAAAGTGCTGGGATTACAGGTATGAGCCACCGTGCCTGGCTGAGTTTCATATTTTTAAGGCTCTGAAAAAGGGAAGTACATTAGATATGCAACACTCACAAACACCTTAACCTTATATAAGACAAACTGAGTTGAACTGGAAGCCAAAAGTAATGAATCCAGGCAATTACTAAAAAAAAGATTCTCTAAAATCAAAATGCATGTACATCAACGTTGCCAACATGTCAAGGAAAGGGAAGGAAAGAATTTTTTGATGTTAAATGAAGAGTAACAATTTGAAAAGCTGTGCATTGCTGCCTTAGTCAAGTAAAAAAAGAGCAGAGTATGGTTTCCCCTCTCTTCATATTGCAGTACAGTCTTCGGGGCATCTTTGATGAATGGGTATGCCTATGGGAATCGCACTATATTCATTTAGTACCTCCATCTCAGGAAGAGAGGTTTCAGTGTGCCTTGGTTCATCTACAGAAGCCTCATCATCAAACAACCTCCGACAGCAAACCAAAGTAAAAGGGGGTGGCACTTCTTTAAGAAAGGAGACTGCTTCTCGGCGAGATTTTCCATAGAGCTGCGTGCCATTGACCTAGGAAGACAAGGGGATAAGTCAGAACTGAGGTAGCCCCAAATGAAAAAACAAAAATCTCTTATTTATATCAATCTACCAAATGAAAATAGGGCACCATTTTATTTTCCCTGTAAACAAGGGGACTCACTTTAATCATATTATGATAAAATAATATGCAAATAAAAATGTTAGAAATCCTTAACATTTTTAAAATCTAAGGCTAAATCTTTGCATGTCTTGATGGATAAAATATAAAACGCATGCAGAGTATGCCCGTACTGGGTAAGGATCTACCTAATTTTTTGCAGCACTGTGGTTTCTCCTTTCAATACTCCAATGTAGTATTCTCTCACCTACCTCTACTCAGCTCTCCTTAAACACACTAAGTATCATTTACAGCCCTTTAAGACTGTTTACCTTTGCATTTTCATTTTATAAGAATACCATTACAGAAATTTAAGGATGTTTAAAAAAACTATTTTATTTACTACTTAAAGTATAGCTGATAAGTCTAGAATACTTGACTATCAAAATTTAACATCAGTCCACAATATTCTTTCACATCTCATACAGTCTTAATACTATCCTAGAAAAATAACTTCTATTGAAAAGAAATATACATAACTTTGCATCAGTTACATTCTTATATGCTCTGCTATACAGCAATCAAGTATGCATAGAAAATACTAAAATAATTTTTAAAATAATTTTATTCAAGTGTCTCATATTGTTTAAAAGAAAAAGGTATTCTTTATTAATGATTAATCCTTGTCACCAAAAAATTACCTAAATTTCATATTACTTTTGGCACATAATAATAATACTTGGCACCAAAGATGATTTGGCTACATAATTCTAATTTTTCATATATATGACTTGAGCTCAAAGGGTCCTGTCAGTTCTAACTACAGGTCTCTAAAAGCTGATTTGTCTGCTACTCCCAAAAAGCTGAGGCATGAACAGAATCCAGACAACAAATAATCTTTTCACATCTGACTCCTACCCTCCTGGGAGGGTTGAGAAGCATTATTTGCTTTAAAGATATTTCTAGTCTGGCATTAATTTCTAATAGGTGCCGTGCTAATGTTCAGATAACTGGCCAGCCTGACTTTACTGGGAGAAGTCCTTCTACAAGTCTTTCACTGCACCAGAGAGGAAGCGGACACTGGGCTGCTGGAAATCTTCAGCAGCGGGCTGAGTCTCAGGTCAACCATCCCTGGGAACCACTCTCAAGCCTGTAACATATCAAGCACTTAGCCGTCAAGTCAGACATATCTCCCTGCCTCTTAATTATTTACAAAGAAACCACCACATGGTAAAGAGACCCACATGCACTTTAGGAAGCTAGCTCTACTGGAAAGTCTTCAGGACAAATGAAGAGGTGTAAGGGGACAGCAAGCTCAGCAGCTGATGAAAGGT